TTGGTTGGTAGGTTGGAGTCTTTGTCGGGAATTATTATTTGTGATAATTCTGAGTTGCCGCAGGAAATAATTGAGGATCACACAAACTTTATTGAAAACCAAATTTTAATAGCAAATATAATAAAGATAAATAAACTGTGTCTATGTGTGATTTTCGAATTTTTAACTTTTAAACATTTTTTCACATCTCTTATTGGATTTGTAAAACGCATGAACCATCAAATCAATTGTTGTCCTTCGGCGCTTAGAATTGCCAATTTTCTATATAACCCGGATGGCCTAAGTGGTTAAATGTTGATTTCGGTCTCAGCCTTTCGTGGAGAAGGCCGCTGTTTCGAGGCCGGCTCCGGGGAAATTATTTATCACAATTATATTTTTAACAAGCAAAAATTATTTACCGCGTCGTCAGTTATACCTGCCGAACTGCAATCTTTTTTTGCCCAAAGGACATTTCTTTTTAATTTTTTTATTTTTTCCACTGCCTAATACTGCCACTGACGCACGAAGATCTGGTGACTATTTTAGGAGTGCCAATTCCCTGCACGACCCTGGTGGGCGAGGTTCGTTAAATGATGTGTATTATCTCGGTGCTTCGGAGGCAAGGTCGGCTTGTTCGAGCTTCGCTCAGGTAAAATTATTTGTCACAATCCTGTTGCTGAACAAAACTATTGAAAATTGCAGAAACTTAATTGAAGATTATTTGATGTACTTCGTCCAACAAATACAATCAATTAATTTGAAGTGGGTAGCATATTTTCGAATTTGCGAATTTTAACCTCCTTGTTTTCTCACATATTCTCAGCTCCGGAATTCTAGAACTGAAACCGTTGTCTTCAGTAATATGGAAATGTATAGGTTTTGTACTCCTGGATGGCCGAGATTGTTAAGTGGCATGTACGGGTTCATCACTTGAAACCAAGCCGCCGGTTCGAGTCTCATACGGGGATTTTAATTTGATGAAAGTTGTTGTATAAATTATTAGGGATTCGAGAAACATTACTGAAAATAATTTGAAGCATTTCTACCCACAAATGCAATCATTACATATATAAATAATCCGGAAGTCTGTACGTGTTTTTACAATTTGTAACTTTTAAATGTTTTTTCAACTTTCTTTTGCGATTTGTAAAACGTATGTCACGTTAAACCAATTGTTGAGTTTCTGTGCATCTGTATGAACCGATGTAAGTATACTAATTAATCTATAGACATGACGTTTACATACATTATGACCACTAGCCATCTGACCTACTTCGGTATCTCAAACGGTTTAGAAATTACTATTATTTTTCGCCTTACGAATTCTTCGTAAGAAGAGAAAGTTATGTAGTCGTGCGCCAGGTAACGCCGGGATTTCGCCAGAATAAACCTCATTGACGGGTTCTGTTAATAAAACAGTGGATCAATCTTGTTAAATTTAGAAAAAATCTTTAACTCATGGTGTACCAATAATCCGTTTCGTTGGTTCTTGATTCCGAAAAAACGATCGACGGCAGGCATTTTGCCGTCATCCAACTTTTCGGCATCAAGGAATCACAAAACGCGATTCTGACTATTTAACGTGTTAGGGAATATAATTTACTATACTTAGGAACCTAATTTACCCTCTTTTTTGTTGTCGAGGCAGGGCAGTTTTTTGTCGAAAATTCGCCCTTTTCTCCCGCAGCATTACAATTCTTTCTCTAAATTGCGTATTCAGCAGCGAGTGAGTAAACTAGAGGGGCTGCAATGCACATACTTTCTCGTATTATTTCTAAATGCTCCGCAATACTACATAAAACCGAAAATGTAGCAGCAATTTTTATTTCCCGCTCCGACACCCGAACTCAGATCCTCAAAGTTAACTTGCCTGCAAACATACCAATACATACGCTTTAGGGGGTCGAACTCGTCCTGAGGTAAATACCCGATACATGGAAAAAACACTTAACAATCAAAATATCCGCTAGAATTTTGGAGAAACTCGGCTGAACGGTTTAGGCGCTACAATTGTCCGCAGACAGACAGAAAGCTGTTGGTTGATTGGGATTCCGGGCGATTAACTTCTAAGTTCATTAGTTCCGAAAATGAATAGGTTTTCCGCTCGGAAGATAGCGGTGATCTCTCCCCCCCCCCTGGTTGGCTAAATCCGGTACAAACCTTCCGTCTCTAGCGGGGTTTCCCCAAACAGATACCTCCCACCATCGCCCCAGCCGCGAAAACCTCTAAGCTCACGACAGATCTGCCGGCATTAGCGGTAGTGTGGTGCATGTAAGTGTGTACGTAAAGGGGGATTGGAAAAACGCGCGTGGTATGTGGCCGTTTGGTAGGGTACTGTCCCGGCATTCGCTGCGTGTTGGCCTATCTGACTAGTGTCGAAAAAAATGCCATCGTGGGGATTCGAACCTAAGACCTCCTCGTCAGTGACACTGCAATGACATGAAATGATGTCCTTGGCAACCTCTCCCGGTCAGCCGTTAAGGATATCTAACAAGGGAATGCCGTGATGTGACATGTCGAA